CACCAAGCCTAAAAGCAAAGCAAAAAGGTTTTCTACACATAAGTGTCCTTTGTAGAAGTCATCAGTGCAGGACCTATTAATATTGGTCCATCCCTCCCAGAGGTGTCATAGATGAAAGATGATACAACCACACACATTTAAGTCTATATACAGCAAGGAAGCAAGAGAAAATAAGTGGGGAAGGGTTTTGAAGAGAGACGATGCATTTAGGATAGGGTAGAGGCAGAATTAAAGGACCATGTTACTGTAATCTTCAAATATGCACTGTTCATGCGCTGTCCTTATCTCTGCTGCATCATCTTTCTGCACTGATTGTGATCATGAGATTATAAGAACCTGAATTGAGGATTGAAAAAGTGGGCTCCAGGCAGAAGGTGCTCAAGTCAGGGACATGCATTTGCTCTGTCAGAGTGTCACAGAGGCAAGCTCCCGGCCCAGAGCTGTAGCTCACCAGTTCATGTGGTGTACTGCCATGGAATTCATGCAGAGGAGTAAAAAACATACGAGGGCCATAATGTGACTACATTAGGTATCACCAGTAGGTGGGCAATGTTATACAGATGTTAGGTCAATATATATATACACACGCATATATATGTGTGTGTGTGTGCACACGTGTGTGTTGGCTCAGATCATCATGGAGGCTAATTCCCAAGATCCGCAAGCTAGAGACCCAGGAAAGCTCATGGTATAGTTCCAGTCTGAGTCTAAAAGCCTGACAGTCAGGAACGTGAAGCGTGCGAGTCCCAGCCTGAGGGCAGAAGAAGACCAATAATATCTGAGTTCAAGTAGTCAAGTGAAAAAGAGTGAATTCTCCGTTCCTCTGTCTTTTTGTTCTATTCAGACCATCAACAGATTGGATGATGCCCAGCCACGTTGGGAAGGACGCTTTGCTTTACTTAGCTTACCTATTCAAATGTTTGTCTCCTCTGGAAACACCCTTACAAACACACCCAGAAAGAATGTTTAACCAAATAGCTGGGCACCCCGTGGCCCAAGTAGACTGACACGTAAAATCAACCATCACACTGACTCATCTATATTTAACAGATTTTATTAATTCTGTGGTGTTCCACAGCCTTCTTCTAATACTTCTGTACTTAAGATATCCTATAAATTTTCCTATGTTATTTATATCTAAGTTTATTACTCCTTATTGATTTTAACTATTTTCTTTTCTTGCCTTGATAGCACAAGTCCATACTCTCAAATAATACAGATGAAACATGTTATAAAAGTTAAATTGTTACAGAATTATAAGCTTGAATGCTAGAAGACTATGGATAAACAGCATTAACATTCAGAAAGAATTTGTGAGAAAATAGATATTTTTGGAAACATATAAACTTAAAATATTATTAACCTTAGATGATTTCTGAAGATGTGAAGATATCCAACAGCAAAACAAAATAAAGATTGCAATAGGACTAGAAGTTCTAGCCAGGAAAACTAGGCAAGAAAAGAAATAAAAGTCATCGAAATTGAAACAGTAGAAGTAAAATTATCTGTGTTTGCAGATGATGTGATCTTATATATCGAAAATCCAAAGAATTCACAAGGAAGCTACTAGAACTAATAAATGAATTCAGCAAGGTGCAGGGTAAAGGTCAGCACAAAAAAGATAATATTCAACATTATAAGAAGTCTTAATACATTTCAAAGGATTAAAATCATACAGAATGTTGTGTATTTTCTGACAGAAAGAATGTCTCTGTAATTCAAAAATTAAAAAAAGATATTTTAGGCTGGGCACAGTGGCTCACACCAGTAATCCCACCACTTTGGGAGGCCGAGGTAAGAAGGATCATTTGAAGTCAGGAGCTCGAGACCAGCCTAGGCAACAAAGTGAGAACCTGTCTCTACCAAACAACGAAAAAGATATTTAACTATCATCATGTGCATAAATTGAGGAATAAATATCTTAATAATCAATGATCAAAAAGTCATAACAATAATTAGAAAATATTTCAAATAAAAATGATTACAAAAAGGCTATAGTTCCAAACCTGTAAGATGTAATTAAAACAGTATATAGAAAGGGATTTATAGAATGAAATGTATTAGAAGAGAGGAAAGCTTGAAAACAATACACTAACAAACCATTTCGAGAAATTTGTAGCGCAAAATAGATTCAAAGAAAAAAGAAGCAAAAAATAAAAAATAAAAATAGCATAGATTTTAAAATTTCTGAAAAAAAATCATAAAGCTCAACAAAGCCAACTGTGATTCTTTGAATATCAGAAATGAAAAAGAGGCATCAGGTTAGGCAGATAATAAATAACTTTAATAAATAGATTTATTTGTTTATTTAATAGTTAAGGACATAAAGAACAATTACATGCCAATTTATCTGAAATATTAGAAGATATTGACAAATGCTTAGAAGTACGTTACTCAACAACAGTAATTATGGAATC